GTTGACCCTCAATAAAATCCGTACGAAGTACCGTTTCTCAAAAAGGACTCTAGAGGGCAATGTAACAATTCTCTTCTGAAAAGCGGTAATGATACAGCAATGGGCAACAGACACAAACCCACATCTCGGGAGCTTCAGACATGAGGAAAACCTTTTCACTTGGGGGTAACGCAGCAAGGGAACAAGTCACCCAGAGAGACCTGGGACCCTTCATCCTTACAAGTTTTTAAGACTCGGGCAGGCAAAGCCCATGTGCGACCTCATTTAACCTTACCTACGGCTCTCCTTTGAGCAGGAAGTTGGCTAGATGACTTCCAGAAGTCCCTTCTAGCCAACACACTCCACAATCTTATAAGGCTGACGAGACTTCTTTGCTATCATTCAGTATCAGGTAGCTATTTTCTCCTCATAATTCTTGCCTTTCCTTTTCTCCCTCCTCTCTAAAGGGCAAGCAAACACCTCCCCAAAGGTTGTTCATTCCATTGAATTCCTAACAGCAACCATCGGATGCCTCTTCTTTTTTCCTATACCTGCCAACACATTTTACGATGAGGAAGATGGCAACTCAACTCAGTTATCCCTACAAATCATCCCTGCTGATGGCTCTCCACTGGGATCAGAAAGCTGGCTGCAATTTAACACCTCTCAGCAAACCATGCATGGCTATCCCCTTGATATTGATTTCCAGTATTCGCCCCAGGAGTTTCTGCTCTCGGCTACAGATTCAGGAGGACTGACCGCCTGGGAATCCTTCACCATCGAGCTTCTGAAGCCCACCAATGTACCATGCCACCTGTACACTGTCAGAACAAAAAACAGCTACTCCTCTTTCCTGAGAGAGAGGAAAAGGATTAGTTTGTTTCTAGAGAAGCTCTCCCTCTATTTGAACTCCAGCAGTCCCAAAGACATCATGGTGACTGCTCTTAAACCTGGGTCCACAGTAATCTCATGGTATAACAGTTCGCTGTGCACAAGTGCCAACAGATCCTCCAGCTGGTGCGCAAGACTTGAAATCCAGGCAACACTAGAGAAATTAAGAGTGCCGGATGGGTATGTTAGCCCACGCTTTGTCCAAGCAATGTTGCCAGAATACAAAATCGATGTCATTTTCAACATTTCCTACAATGAAGTCTGCTTTCCCACTGCAAAGCCATTCGATGGGTCTTTCAACCGTACTGTGCCTACACTTCAAGACAAGCATGACTCCACAGTTAGGAAGACCCCATCTGCCTTACTAAGCAGTCTTTGTGTCACTGTTGGGGTGGTTCTGATAATACTGGTTTACTGGTTTTGCAAGTATCACAGAAAGATTCCTGGGTCACAGTCTGTGACGTTTCAGAGAAACTCCCAGTTAAGCCACGCTGATGTGGAACTGGATGTCCTGAAGCCTCGCAAAGCACCTGTACATGAGTGCAGGGCCTCACCCTCACCTCAGTTATGGATACCACCTTCGGTACCACTTCCCTCCCAAGAGCAGTATTCTAGGTCAGTAAGACTGCCTCACATCATACCATCTTTCCAGCCACCAAAATACCAACTCCCTCCCCGCTATCAAGAGGGTATGACTCCCCACAACAACCAGGGAAATATCCACAGACTTGAGATCTTTTAAATGATATTAAGAGCAAACCTACAAAAAGACAATTTGTATCAGAATGTGCTATCCTTACTACTCGGAAAAAGTCATAAGCAATCAGTGGTTTTATCCTTTTTCAATTTAAAATAGAACATACTTAACCTATGCCTGACAAAGAGGCAGCAGCAAAATCAGAACCCTGAAAGTACTAGAACAAGATGCCAAGCAAAGCAGGTAAAGCCATCTATAGACGAGGCGGGTGGAGCGATATGCCTGTCAAAGTCGGAACAGGAAAATGCGTTACAAGCCCATGCTGGTGGGAATGAGGGGTCACTGCCAGTTCTGAGCAAAACTAACCCCATCGTGACCCCCCGAGTTACACATTTTACATAGAAGAGGCAGAACTGTCAGAAGGACGACCACAGAACATGATGCTTCCATTGAAACTCAAAGGCGCTACAACCCTTGAGTCTCTACGTCAGCTTGGAACTTTAGATTAGTATTTTCAAAAAATGCATCCAGAAATTGTCCCTATCTCTTGGGTGACATGGTCTCTGTCTTCAATCTTTCAAAACTTTTTTAGTGTTTCTATTAGATACATTATACATATCACTGACAAAGGCAACAGTAGCTACTTAACCTGAAACTCTTCTCTTACCTAATTGTGTAGCCTACTTTTTAAAACACATTTTAAAGTTACAGGCTTGCTTCCCTACAGTAAAACTGGATCTCTTGTCTGCTTCCACCCATGACAGTTCAAGGACCACAGAGAAGAAAACGTGTAAAGAAAATTTCTAAACTCGCAGGGCAACTACCCATCACGGTGTGCTCTGGCCGAGACGGTACGTAGCGCCCACCTTGTTCTGATGAACCCCGACTGCGCAGAAGGTACAGAAGCCACCCCGCACACAGGGCAGCCCAATCACCACAAACACGGCTCTGGGACAGCGAGCAGACCCTAGAGAGCAGCGAGCTAGCCAAAGAACAAAAGCATTAGCTTTTGCAGGCTAGAGAACACAGGCACAAATGCGCGCTCTTACCCGAAGGGAACAAGGCAGAACTGGATCCAGTTTGAGAGCGGGCTGCTGATCAGCCCAAAGGGAATCCAGTCCAGGGACAGATCTGGGCATGGTGCACAACTGGGAGATGAGAAAAGCTCTCCCACGGCCCACTTTTATGTCGTAGCGCAGATTAACATTTGCAAACAACCAGATGCCAACATGACATCCCAGCGCAGGTCCCTGCAGCCCCTGCTGGCTTGCCTTCTCTCCAAACTTAAGACTTGCACCACCCCACAGCAGCACAGCTCAACCACTAGTCATGGCATAGAAAGAGAATTTGAACAGCTCACTAGCCACAAGGGTACCTAGAGCTACAGGACCAAAGTATTTGAACAGATTACATTTGTGTGTGCAATCCCCCTCTAGCTGTAACATAGTTGTGGGAGCAGAAGAACAACACGCACTGGTTAGCTGTGTGCATGAAAACATTGGTAATGTTATGGTTTTTTGGGACAGCAGTTGCTCAGTGAATACAACAGTAATGACAGGATTTGTATCATCTTGCACGAACGAGTAGCACTTGCCTGGATTTACAGCGTTGAATAACTTTTTGGGTAAATACAAATTGCTCTGGATGACTGACTACTTCAATGCTTTCCAGAAGCCAGGCAGCTATAAACCAGCTCTAAATCCAATGTAAAAGTCAACAAAGCAGCAGTAATTCACTGTAGTCAACAGTCTAGACATAAGATTGGTAAAATATAAATCCAAAGGATAACTGCAGGAAACATCAGCCCTTGGAGTATCTCATGTCTCAGTAAGACTCTTCAAGTACTTAGAATACAGACCCACAGTCAATCACCTTGGAGAATCAGGCCCTGCTCGTTTAATCACACAACAGTCTTACCTGGCAGATGTTCCAAAAGGGGAAAATTTAGTTAGGAAACAAGCTAAACAATCACCCATTTAAACAGCAGGTGCGGATTTTTTCTTTTGCTCTAATAAAGTATTGAATTCCTGGGCATATTTAAGGACTGCGCTGAATATTAGTGACACATCAGGAGACACAACACACACCATTCCTCAAGGCACAGGATAAGCTTTTCAGTTATACTTCTCTAGACCAGCAACAAATTGCAGAAAGGTGACATTTACATGCTCCCTAGGTTCCAGACTTTAAAACTCCTTTAGTAAACAAGAGAAATATCCAGACTGATATGCAGTACAATCTCATTAAAATAACCAAACTTATGTGGAACAATAATTCTGTGGTAGTTTCCTCCATCAGTACATTTCAGGTAGGAGATCAAGAGAAGTGCTGATGCAGGACATCTTATTTTCAATTAAGTAATGAAAATAAAAGTCTTCAGACTTCAGGACCTCCAAAAATTACACACTGCTTCTGTAAAAGCTACCTAAGTTTTAGAATATGATAAATATTATCATGCAAGTACTCTTTAATCACTCTGTAAAAACAATTCTCAAATCATTTAAAAGAAAACACATCTGCATCAGTGGCCAAATAACCACCTTGAAACTACACCTGGTACTCTGACACAGCTGAAGAAAGGACTCTGCCAACAATGTAAGCCAAGAATCTTGCAGGTATTTGTGTTCAGAGGTAGTCATTGTGAACTACGGTATTTAAAGTTTCAGGTGACGAAATACGAACACATTAGTTTTAGAAAAGCTCACAAAGATGTGTCTTAAATCAACTTAAACTGTAACGTATCAAATCTGAGAGACTCCCAGTTGCTTATGCAAACTAGAATAACGCAATGGGTGCGGATCAGAGGAAGGCTGATAGACGTGGAGTACTGAGCTACTCATCTTTCCTCAGCCCACTCAAGCTGACACATTTGGAAGCCAACCCAAAACCTTACAAAGACATTGGGTAAGAGTTTTCCCATTTGAGAAATCTACCCTGCAATGAGAGAAAATGAGGCTCTACTCCAAGGAACTGAAGACGGATCATCCACTTCGTCATTTCACAGCCCTTAATATTCAGAATAAGTCTCCCCATGACATTCAAAAAGCTTAGAGCTAAAACCACAGCCGTCTTAAGAGGGTATATTTAATCCAAAAAATAATTTAATCATTAGCAAAAACTTTATTTTACTTTCGCTTACAAAGACTTAACTCCAGCAAAACAACCTGAAAGGCTTTACTTTCTAAAGATAATTTCTAGTCAATTTTTTAAAGTCCTTAAAGCAACAATTTTTATTTGCAAAACCACTCACTCTCCCACCCCTTAACTGAAAACCAAGACTGGCATGTTCTCAGCTCAGTGACCAGGTACTCAGTGCGCGGTCTTTTCCATAATTCTGGAGTCCTGAGGAAGTTTTATATAAATAAAAGTATTCATGAACCAAAGTTAACAATATTATCAGTTAATTACCAATTATTTGGATTTTTTTTAATAAACAGTCATCACTGATTTTGAGATATTAAACAATACTTATGGGAAAGGACTTTAAACTCTTAACATTTTTGATTACTTGATTTAGTCCATGGTGGCACAGGTTTTCTTCATCCTAAAAACATGACTGTAAAGTACTTTGGGACAGCTGTTTGCACACTATTCATTTCAGTGACATGTGGATTTCATATTTCATAGCAAAAATAATAGAAAAACGTAAAAAACAATCAAAACAGCTATACAACTGTACTGAAACGGTACTAATATCAATTCCAGCATTACATATTTTTGCAATTCGGCCAAGTTTCGTCCAAAGAAACAAAATTAATCATCACTGCCGGCCTGCTTTTCCATTTTCCGTTGTTTCCATTCTGAAAGGCAAGACAACAGCTGGTAAGGCTTGTTACTGGAAATATAATCAAAGATTAAGGAAAAAAATAGACTTAAAAACTTTTTTTAATAAGTATTTTTTACTTCACTAATCATCCTATCTCTCCCTGCCCCCAACATACATTCTTACCTCCTCTTAAAACTTCTTTAAGCAGTAGTAGTACATAAAGGAGAGGTTTCTGCAACAAACCTTTCCAGCAAAAACCGCAAAAAGCTATCCATTATCAACCTCACCAAAAGACAAAAGCCCGTATTCATGTGACTGCAGAGAATTTATTTCTCAAATTCGAGCTTTAGCAGTTTGTTTCACAGTCTTCGTTTTCACCCTTCACTGACCATCGACTACCACCATCTTATTTACTTAAGAGGAGGCTGGTTTGTTTTTTCAGTACTTTTTGGTAGAACATAGACCACTATCAACTTCATTACAGCACAGCATAAGATTCGACCACTCTGCTACAGACAGTATTTTTCTATTAGCCATTCCTTTGGAAGCTAAAGCAAGCAACAGACTGGCACAAAGAATCTCAACTTAGCTGCCATTTAACCCCTTGAAGTTTAAGAGTTCGCTGCAAGGGCAATCGCTAAGGCACAGGGAAGACCATTTATCAGCATTCAGCCTTGCTCAGCACAGATGCAAACAACTCAAAAGCAAACACGGCTGTAGTTGTCCAGCAGTACTGAGGGATAAAGGATGTATTTACGTATTTTAAAACTCAAAAGAGTAAGGAGCGTTCTTAATGCTGTAACTGAAGTATTCCTCCATGCTGCATACTGACTACTGCTAAGACTTTTGTAGTGATGCATTTACTGATACAAACCCATTTTCTTCTTTCAGATGTTGATATAGCTCAGCTTTATTGTTGACAGAGTTCAAACGACCAATAAATTCCTGGTGTTTCCTAGAGTTGGCAGTATTAATCCTGTTGCTCCATAAAGACAGCAAGGACATTGGCCCTAAAATTGCAAGTAAAAAGAGTCTAAGCCATTTAATTTCTGAAATCTTAAACATTACATCACTATAAATGCTTAGAAGACACTACAGGCTATAGCAGCACAACATATTAAACCCACTAACATTAAAACACCTTATAATAGAGGCTAAACAAATACAAAATATGCAAAGTGATAAAACAGAGCTGAGTAGCTGCTTCAGGCGAGACTGACTTTGCTTCAAATGTAGAATCTGAACATCAGCTTGGCCATTGTGACAGATGATAACAGCTCACACCAAGGAAGAGGTCAGTGAGAACGGCCCGTTCCTACAACTGTACTGCTTAGGCATGTTTATCTTTATTAGTCAGCAGGAGACAGTGAGTTCTGGTACCTGTCCTTAAATAGCATTTCTGACGTACAGTAGCTCAAATAGCACCAGCAGAAATCTGTCCAACCCCCCGTCAACCCAAGTGCCTATCAGTAGACCCACACAGTACCTTGGTATCTCTCTTTTTACATAGACCTGCTGAGGCTAACATATTACCAAGAATTTCTCAACACTGAGTGCTTAATTAAAAATTATCCTCACTGGCTTAGCTTTAACTCCAAGAAGATTTGTATCATTCAGTACTTTAGAAAAATACAGACTGATACAGTAACTTCTATCTTTAAAAGGAACAATCTGTCACAATTCTTCTGGCTTACCTTTTGCCTTTTCAACTGTGGGCATTTCATCCATTGCAATAAGTGGCTTTTTGTTGGGTGGCTCAGGAGAATCAGGGGAATCTTTGATAACTTCAGCTTCTGCTAGTTCTTCTTTTTCACGATCCAAAAGACCTTTTAACCTTTTTGAGAGGAAAGGAAAAAAAGTGAAGTAAAATATGCTAGAGCAGCACATATGATTCTCAGTATCACTCTGTACTCCTCAAAGTTGTACATGACCCATATCAGAGGAAAATTTCTCTTGACCCCTTGGAATGGGTGAAAAACAACAGGGAAGACTAGCCAAATAATCCTCTGGATAAAGCCTTAAGTAAAGGGAAGGATCTTAAAATATAATTTCACTTAAATTAGTTAGCAGTATCTATATTGTAGTTGTTGAGACAGTTGATCATTCTGAATTTTGAAGGAAAGACTAAGTAACAATGAATATACAAAACCACCACACAATTTCCTCTTATCTTCTCTATGTGGATTCAGACCTCTTGTATACCAAATCCCTTTTATCTCAGTCCCTACTTTTGTTCCACATATGAAAGTAAAAGCAGTTGTAGGAATGGATTTGATCACGCTCTGAAAGGCATGAAAGGTCATCAGCACGGTGACAACGTAGGTGAGAAAAGTCCTCCTGTTCTAAATGATCATAGCATGGACAAAACATACGCAAATTAAGCTTACTACCATGACGTTTTTCTGATCTCTTTAGAATAGTAGTTGAACATAAAACTAGAAGAGATTGACAGATGCTTACTAGACAACTTACAGTAACATGAATTAGCAGTAGGTATATGGACAATCAATCCTGACATTCGACTAAAGAGGAGAGACAAATTAAATTACCCAAACTATCTACAGGTCAAGAGAAAACAACTGCCTGTCCCGAGTTTTTAGTCATGCTTTATATTTCTATAAAGCAGTTTAATGTCTAACAGGTGGTGTGGTTACAATAAAATCTAACAGCAGCAACTCCTCAAGCTGAAAGGCCCTCCTAAGTGGTCAACAACTTGTCCAAGAACCATACTGCTTGTAAAATATGTTGATGTGAAAAGTCTGATAAGCAGGAAATGTAATAAGATGACCATTTCCCAAGCTTGGTCATGGTGACTGATCCAAAAAACCTTGGGATCCACACTCACTGGTCATAAGCCGAGGTTACAAGCACGAACACATCAAATTGAAACCTGCAACTGTTTTGCCTCAATTCCTCTCCCCTTTGAAGTAGGGCACAACAAAAATTATCTCCCTAAGGTTTTATTTCACTTCAGAAAATTTACCTTTCTGATTCTTGCCATGGCTTATCTGATTCATAGTCTTTGCCCAACTTCTCTGACTTGTCTTCTTTGTCTTCTCTCTTTCTACCTCGTTTCTTGCGCTCCTCTTCTTCTGGGGGTTTGCTTCTGCAAGCCATCAAACATTCTAAGACTCGCTGGTGTTTATCAGAGTTGTTTATGTGTGCTCGTACAAGGGTCTCCAATTCATTCCACATAATCCGGTATTGTTCATCTCTAAGCAAGGCCAGAAAAAATGTATTACATACAGGATTACCTAGATCATTAAACCATTGAATAATTAAGGCTAAAAACCAGACCTTAACAAAAAAAAAACCCAAAACTAAAACTAACTCCGAACAGATTGCCTGTCCTCTCTTGTACTAGAGATCTATCCACCTGGGATTACTCCATCCTTGAAACTTGAAGCCACACTGCATGTAACCACTCCCAATTAAGAACCAGAGTTAAGTTTCAATTGAAATAGACTATGCACACTGCAGTCAAATTCTTAACTTTCACAAAACCTCAGTGCCAAAAGGCACTTCTGAATCCTCTTAGGTGTTTGCTAACTGCAATGTCAGGATATGCAGAGGGCCACTCACATACTGACACACAAATTAACCACTATTTAATTCTTTGGATAAAAAAATTTAGAAAGAACTGCACCATGCTACTGTAACTAACTTCCAGTCATGTGGGCAAATCTTCTGTAGCTGAATTTCTTTTCAGCCAGTCCTTGGAAACACAATGCACACATCACAATGACTGAGATGTCAGGATATTCTATGCTTGTTTTAAAGAAGTAGCCCATATTTTAAATAACTGTTTCAAAAGGATTTGACTATTCTAATATAACCTAGTTTAAAAGCATTGTTCATTTATAATATGTTTAAGTTTTCCCTTTTATTAATTTGAAATTATTCCACTTTCTCTGTTCTAGCTGGTATCTTCTCTTATCTTTCTTGACGACTGTCTTTGCTTTCTTATTTTTTAACATACTCCAATTCTTGAGTAATAAAAAGACTTTTTTTTCCCTAACATACAGCACTATCAGTACTCTGATAGCCCCTAAATGACACAGGCAAAGTATTCACAGCATTTGTTTTGGTTAAATTTAAAATATTTGGTATGAAAACAATGTCAATAGAATATTTCTGAAAAAAGTCCAGCATCAACAAAAAAATATATGCATGTAACCTTTTTGGACCCTTTCCTCTGGTACCAACTGTTGAAATTGGCAGTGGATCGTTTTTCCTCTCCATGTCTACCAAATTGTATATTGTTTTTTGACAATTCAGAACATCCTCATCGGTCATTGCTTCTTTTACAATCACACTGGCTAATGGCACTACCTGTAAGACAAAACAAAAGTCAACAGCGAGAAAATCTGTGTATGTCACAGAGGAGAAACAGGAAGATGACAGACATTAAAGGCAATGGAACTATGGAACAGCACACTACAAAAACACCCCCTCTTATCCTCCATTTAGTAACAACTCTGAGCAAGTATATGCAGATGCAAGTTTTCTTTACCCAGCAGTACTGTAGCTGTCAGGTTCAAATAGTCCACCCTATTCAGATGGCATTCCAATAATTGATTGACATTAAATATAAACTACTTAAGTGAAAATAAAGCTGAAAATAAACTGATTTTGTGGCAGGTGATTTATCATAAAACAGTTAATATTTCACCAAGTGACAAGGTGAAACTCGATCTAGAACAGAATAAAAGGTTACAAACCCCAGGATACGTACAGCTTGCATGTTGAAGATGGTAGTCTGAGAAATAATCATAGGCCAGTAACGAGTATGTTTCTCTAACTGATCTTTTGCACGTTCCAATGGAATTTCAAGACTTCCATCGATCTTATATCTGGGCTCTAGAAAAGGAGTTAATCGGTTTTCCCTCATAAATTCACCAAAATCCTAATAACCAAACAAGATACAATTAGGCATTTCTCTAACAAAGTCACTTTCACTGAACGGGCGAAACAGCATAGTCTTGCTTATCACTAACCATGTACCATCCCCATGGCTAAATTTGACCCAAACAACCAGAGCCCCGTTCCCAGCTTTCAGATGTGTATTAACCCGGGTGAACCCAAAAATAGTTGTATAAAAATATGGGTTAAAAACCCGATGCAAAGTTTCTGATGAGGAGGCTTTCTGGATCTGCAAGGTTATTTCATGTATGGTAAGAGTTTTATTACGTTCCTCTGGAAGCCACTTCTGCTTGTTTACAACAAATACAAAGGATGCATTGGGGGAAAAAAAAAAACAACAACAAACAAACAGCAAAGAATGCCAGCTGATTGTCTGCTCCATACCCAGGGTTCAAAGCTGACAACTTCATCTTTTCTATTTATTGTACAAACCATTCACATGCAATCTGTCCTTCTGCCAATAAGAGTCCTACATGCATCCAGCCCACAGAAAACACCAAGAAAAATGTTAAGTCTAGAATCAGAACAAGCTTTAAATACTCATAGTGCATAAGGAGGCAAGTACTTCCTTGACATGGAAAGGATTCTATGAAGTGGGCATAACAATATGCAGATGTATTACTTTGTATGTATCAGCAGTACACTTTGATCGTGCAATCCACACCACGTACCAACATTTCCTTTACACATCTATTGCACTACATCTCTTGTCATCTGAGACAAGCAACAATTTAAAGAAAGAAAAAAAAAAATAATCTTACTGTAATCCGGTAGTCAGTGACTCTTCCACCACACCCTTCACTAATTGACGGGGGATCTTCTAGAATTGATCGTGAGCTGCTCAATACATGCAGAAAAATTTCTCCTCCATGGCTGCTGAGCATGTGACTAATTACTTTAGAGCCAGACTTGCGCGGCTGCTCCAACAAAACAGAACGACCTGTTGGAAATGAGATCAGTTTCATTACTTACCGCGTGCTGCAATTTTAAACTAAAAACTACAGATACACAACACAGGTTTGTACCTAGCCAGTAAGGCTTTGAAGCCATTAGAGTTGTGTTTTCACCTAGCCGAATGAGAAACAGCTATCTCTTTTCAGTATTTACTCTTTAGACAGAACAGTGTCATATGCTCTTCAATTTTACACAGAAAGATCAAAAAGCCTCTCTCCTGGACCAACCAATCCCTTTCTCTGTAGGACATTATTGTTAGGAAAAATACATATTTGTAAGACATTACAATGGGATACTGTGTGAGGGCACTTTGCTATTTTTAATAATTACAGATTATGCTGTATACTAAACTTATTTGGCCCTACTGCAGAAACTCTCATTAAACGCAACTTCTAAAAAGTAACAAAACCTACTTGAGTATAAAGGTATCAATTGATGATATTTGTTAATGCTTAAAATGGATACTGTTTATCAGACAGAGGAATAAAACTGTCTAACTTCCAGTAAAATACACTAAGAATAAAAGGGTGCATTCTCCAAAGTAGTCGTTTGTTATGAGGAAGCAAAAATAAAGGATCAGAAGAGAGCGGTTATCTGAAATATGCTATTAATTTTGGTTCTAACTGGTTTTATTAATCAAAGTACTTTTTCAATACAGAAATTTTAGAGAAAAATACATAAAAATATAGTGTTTAATAAAACCACCGCACATTTATTTAGACATTCAAATGACTTGACTGAAGAAAACATCCCATTAAAAGGATGTTCGTAATGCAGTTTTGTTGGCAAACTAAAAAAACTCCACATGTAATCAACACTGACTACATATTACTTGTTTAGAAGAAACAGCTTTGGCTTACCTTTTTAACACGTACCTAAAAGGCAGCCTCTTACAGCAAGATTATTCATGGCAATGGGCAAGGTCTTGCAGATAAGCAAAAAATAACTCAATCTAACCTACTTTTGGACCGATCCCAGCACACAAGGGTATGTCTGCTTCAATTGACCAACATACTTAGTTGGTCATAATCCAGTTAAAAGACCTTTCTGAGGCTGCCCAGCATCTGCTATAAATCAGGCATAGACATGAGTTGCTAGTGTTTTGCAATAGTCAGAGTAAGCATTGTGATCGAGTGCACTATCACCTACTGACAGCGGTGTTTCCTACTAAATAGCATAAAGTGAAAAGTATTCTACATTTGGATTCAGAAAAGAACTACCAGAATTTAATACTTGCTCCTTCTTTACATCTTCCCTCCCATCTTCAAGTTTCCAAACACACCCCATTTGCCTTTCAGTACATGTAACAAGTTTCTTCTCTTATTTATACGACACGTCAAAAGAAACTTGGCATATTTACAGTACACAGACATTTACTACTATACAAATCATAACATGGTAAGAGCTCTATTCACAATATTAACAATTAAAACAATAAATAATTAGCCAAAGACATAAATTTACCATTAAGGAGAAAGTTAGTAAGGCAGGAAGAAGGTCTGCTATTTACATCTACTGGTGAAATTCTGAACGCTCCAGTGCAATAGTGTAATTCTGAAAAATAAACGAGTAGAAAAGTTGAGAGTGTAGTTCCACATACAGAAAAAACTTCCCACAAAATAAAAGAAAGAGAAGGAGACAATCCCACAATCAGAAGAACTAAAAAATCTAGATGTCGATCTAGAAGTCTGCACCTTTCACCATCTTCTTGCAATCATTCCAGTACCCTCAACTCCAAGAACCTAATACATTCCCAAGCCCTATTTCCCAAGCAGAACCTCCAGTTCTTTATCTCCTGAATTATGTTACTGTAGAGTGAGCCTCCTCTCATTTCTCTCACCTGTGCTTTTGACCTGCTGGCTCAAGGAGTCAACATATCTTGCTGATAGCCTACAGGGTGCATGAGCTGAATGCACAGGGGGTTCCTATGTTTCCTGAAATCTTCCCTGTCCTTCTCTACTCAGATTTGGGTAGAGATCTCTCCCTTGATCAGATTCAAAAGTTAATACAAACAGCCTAGTCTATTGACAGTACCATGGCATATATAAATTTCTTACAAAAATTTCTTACTTAGCACTCTAAAGATTATACTGAAGATAGTATTTTAACCTCCCCCTTCCCCTGAAACAAGAATTAAAACTGAAAAAGATTCAATGTCTCAAAGCTGCTACATTAAAAAAACACCACTGTGGAACTGACAAGGTATACTTAGCCCTGTGGGAGGGGCAAATAATTATCGAACACTGTAGTCAAGGAACAACTTCATGGTACTCAAGTCTCTTAAGAGATGGAAAAAAGGCACCAAGAAAAACACTACTACCCCTCTCACCTCTTGTGCAAACCACTGATGAGCCAAGATCAGGAGAGCATCGTATGACCATTAGTAAAGCAGGGTGCAGTCAGCAGCAAGGTTTATAGAGCAAAAGGTAAAACCAGCATTAACAAGCAGCAAATCAACCTCCTTGTGCAGATTCTTATCGGTGTACAGGGAGAACAGTGTTCAACACAAGTTAAAATATCCGTTTCGTAAGATATCATGTCACCTACCCACACTATTTGTTCGAGGAGTACACCATTTTAACGTAACAGTTTCTTTAAATGTGCCTTCTCTGCTATTGCCACCTGTATGATTATCACCTGCAATATAAAGTCAGAAAAAGGGTGTGATCAACCACATTTTATTACAGCAAAAACCTCTAAAAACTTTTAAGATACAAAATATTCATAACATGAGCATACAGAAAATGTAATCTAATTTTAAAAAGATATCTAAGGCAAAAAAGTTACTGGCAGCAGCAGTTTTAAAAATAACCCTTTAAAATCAGGAGCTGTTGCATATATTTTAAAACCCAATTCAGTAAACAAAATACTGCAGCCTCAGAGTATGTTCCATAAGTTTGATCCAACATTTAGAAAATTATAGATATGTATTGTTTTATCTGCAACAGGCAATATTTTTATTCTAAAATGACAAGGACTTTAAGACAACAACTTTTTTAATTTTCCACATAGAAATCAGAATATTAACAAATGTTAGAGCTGATCATTTCTTGCACGTATATCCCAAAGTCAAAGCGATCTAAAGGCACATTTGACAAGTTGGGCTTTTTGGGGAAAGTAGTATTTGGTCTCGTCATCTAGTATCTTTGCTATGTCAGATTCAATCTGAACATCTCTCAACATGTTTTACTGGCCGTAGACATTTTATCATCAAAACACTTTCACATGTCTCGCTGATAACCAGTCTGGCAAAAAGAACCACCTGAAGGCCTTAAAACAGACATTATCAGTACTCCTTAACACATTAAACTATGTTTCTACTAGTGAGTTTTGCAATTCTTCATGACCTTTAACTCACATTAACTCAGGAAAGAATTAACTGAGTTTTGCATGAAGTTTCAGAATTACAGTAGCATCATCACTTAATATGCTCGAATCCACAATAACTGGGAGGAATGAGACATACATCAACATGCAACCCTATGTAATATATTAGGGTTTAGTTTAATCTTTCATGTAAGAAGTTTAATTCCTGTCAAAGACATTTACTCAGAAAAGATCTGATTTCCTTATTAATCATGCAGGTAACTTGTAAAAGTTGATTTATTTTTTTCCAGTTAAAATAACTGGAATAATTTTAGAAAGTCTCTCTCAGAACATCTAAAGGCCAAACTTACTTAATCTAAAAATTCTCTAGCAACATTTCACCGAAATAAGACCAGTGCAACTGAATTCCTACTTTCCTAGCACCAGAGCTATTACAGCTGAAAGATTTGTTTAAAAACAAAGAAAAGAAAACAAAATTTACAGGATGCAAGAACAGACTTCTTCCTCTCAAAGTTCTGACAGAAAAACTTTGAAGAGGAATTGCAGTCGGAGCTTGCTTTTGGCTTCTACTAGCAGACTTACTCCTTGAGCCAATAGGTACTACAGAACTATTTCTGAGCCCTTACAATAAAGTTTTATGATTTCAACACGGTAACACGAGTTCAGGTGAGTCTGAATTCATTACCGTAACATCCTATTCTTTTTCCTCAATCTTTAATCACACACTCCACTAAAATATGGAGCACAGTACTTGTAGATGAGAGCTATCTCCTTTTTCTCAAAGAAATGGCAATCCCTTTAAGAGAAAAAGGAGCACAGACTCCCTAAAATGGCTGCTTACAGGCCACATGATTTCAAACTTCAGAAGAGAAATATCCACTCCCCGTTAAGTAACTCTGATAACTCATTTGTTAAACTCTTCACTTCTTAGAAGTTAAACCACAATCAACTTTCTAATATGCTTTAAAACTATTTTCAGATAGTAAAACAAGTATCTACAGCCTATATCTAAATACATGTATTCCACACACATAGTAAACCAGACTAAGCTTTTAATGGTACTGAATCACATAACAGAAGTTACAATCAACGCAGGAAGAAAAACCAAAGCACATACAAGCCTTTAAAAGCTTCAAATGAGACTTCAGCACTGAAAAGGCACACAGTCTAAGTATTCCATAACACACTGGGACAGGCTGAGGGTTTTTTCACTGCTTGGCTTTGCTTTTAATTCTAGCACAGAATTTTTAGCCTGACTTACTAACAAAATTTTACATCAAGCACTGTTGCCTGAACAAAATAGTTTTGCATAAGGATTACTGTTGTGTTTCCCTAACCTCAGATATTAAAAATTCACCTCAAAAGAATACTAGGTAATAATTCCAAATTTACAAAAAGGATACTCAGTATTGAAAATATAACAAGAAATCACAAAAGCCAAATAACTATTGTCTTTTCCAAAGCAATTACTGCCATAAACAGGGATGTAAGTGATGTCAACTGTTATTACTTAATGGATTAAAAGTTCAATTGCGCAAGGAATAATGTTCCACAAATACCCACAAGAGGTACTTTCTTTTGTAAAATCACTGCACATCTGGTCTCTCATCTACTTTTTATATCTCAGTAAGCAGTTGACATGCCCCTCAAATCTCATACAAATATCCTGAACACATGCAAAATGTCGTCTGATGAATTTGACCTGTTTTTTCATTGTCCTATCCTTATTACTGTATTAAAATAAGCCAGTAATGAGTAAAACTCCAATGGCAACATTACAAATCAAGTCCTTGGGTCGTAAGGAATAACTGAAAATAGGCTAATCACACCTGAAATTTACATCAGTTTGAAGCTCACAATCTTTCTTTGTGAATACTTCAGCAGGCTGGTCAAAAGCCACTTTCAAAGGACCATTTCTACTCACCACTCTTTAAAAAGTCAACATGTGCCTCTTTGTGATGAAGAAGCTCCACATCATAGTTGGCTGATGTGTTAGCATGTTGTTCTTCCTTTAAAAGATCAAGGTAGAAAGAACAAATACAATTGTTTTAGCTAGAGGTCACTGTTTTCATAAACAAACGATTCTACATTTACCTTTCACTCCAAAAGAAAACAAAAACTCTCCAAAGTGCATCAGACAACAACGGGATTGCAATGTTGAGGAAACTGTTTGCTCTCTGACCTGTTTAAAGATGCAGCCATCTGCTTTTCCTCTTTTTTTTTTTTCCCTTTTTTGAAACCCTATGGTTTCCTCTTTATACAAACGTCATGACAGGGTCCACAGGTATCAAAATAGGCTTAACTACTTTTGTTTAAGTAAGTGAAGTTAGGGAAGCCTATAACATATTGAATACCACCAGCAGTTACAACTTACTGAGCACCAACAAGTGGTGACAGCAGAATAGATCAGCAAGTATGTTTCATAACTAAAAATCTCAAGAATCCAAACCAAGACACACCCTTCAAACTTACTATCATTTCCTTGCACTCCAGATACACAACTGTACTTGCAGCTTCAAGGTTATAATTAAAAGAAAGGATGTTTGTAAAGAGGACACTGCATCTTTAAACAGCTACAGAGGACTGGCAAAAACAGAACAGTAACCTTGGTAATTTATTCCAAGTTAAAAAAAAAAAAAAAGAAAAAACCACAGAGAACCCAACATAGTCTATTACTATAAGGACAAAGGCAGAAGGGAGAGGCATACCAGCAGCACACAGGTCAGAAAGTTACAGACAAGGTATTTGCAAACTTAAGTCACATTTATGCCATGACCCATGCCAAAGTTTTGTTAAATATTAAATGCTATGTGAAAGTAATTTTTAATTTCATGTTTTAACTTACGAACTCCATACAATATTGCTAAGTTTTCAAAGTTGCAAGTAATGATTGACAGTAGTAGAACTTGATGATTTTTTTTTTATTCAGGAAATTTTATCTGCCCCTGCCCTTTTTGTTTGTTTGAATACTGACACTTCTGTTTCAATTGTCTCTTGCTGCCTGATCAGAAAATTACTGTAAACTTAGTAATACTTGAAATTCTTAGTTGTACTGATTTCCCTCTCAGTAGCGATAAAAAAAGTTATTAAAAATAGGGACATAACCTTGAACAGAAGATGTTTAATTTAATATCTTTCTGAACTAAATATATTCCCTGTCCCTCTGTTCCTGGGTTTACGGATCTTCAAACTGGGAAACCTATTGGAAAACCTTTAGTCAAAAATCAGCTATTAGTTACAAACACCTTTATGTTGGGTGGGCATGATAATGAAACAGAGGAAAAAGAGACTCACTATGCCACTATAATGCACAAGGGTCAAGAATATCTAAACACAACTAGAAAAAGACAAAAGAATCACAGACAAAGTAATCTGAGGTAAATAAGATTGTATTTATATAAAACAATACAAACAGAACTGAAATAACACTTGTATTGCCACATCAAAAATTGAGATTCAGCAATACAACATTTTGTTCTGTGATCCTTCTTTACTTTTTTTTCCCCCTTCTTTATTTTTACTAACCTGGTCACAGACATTGAATGTGGGCTAATAAAAAAAAAAAAAAAAGAACAGAAAATATGATATGGAGAGAAAAACAATGTAAAAATTCAATTAAAATAAACATTAAAAATTTTCAAACAAATTTAGAAGTGATGCGGCTAGTTAACACAAAGCTATAGACACAATATTACCTTCATAGGGATGTTAGTTATTGTGGTTGAAGCCAGATCAAAGTGCTGTTGTACTAAAACATTCAGTTTTGTAGCCAGATGCCGGCCCGCACGGACACTGTGCACTTCACTGGTTAAAACAGGCGAAAGCTAAAATAAATTGACAGAATATATAGTATTAATGAACTAGGCTCTGGTATCATGTAACAGCATTAATCATCTGAAACCCTAAAATAAGCACATTCATACTGCTAAAATCGACTGGGAGAAAAACTACCACCCAAAACCTTCACACCATGGGAAACTAAGAAGAAAGCAGCAAAAATTACATCTCATGGAGAATTCTGCAGGTTATACCTGTTCTAGTTGCAGTTGCTACAAACTGGCAAAATTAGAAGCGAGCTAAAAAACTTGCGTCATTAGTTAATAGGAAGAATTAGTACCATGACATGGGGAAGAAATCTTAATAGCCGCTCTGGGCCTACTTTTTCACTCTTTTGCCTGCTGAGTAACAGGAACAAAGTAATTTTTATGTACCTACCTGTAAGTGCGTCATATGTACACAAATGAAACAAACACAAGCCATAAGATGCATTTGATTTTCCCCTAGCCAATAAGGACATGGGTTTTAGGCTTTTTTAAAAAGAAAACAAAACCAACTAAAAAAAAGTGATAAAGACAACTGCCTTATGGAGGAAAGTAGCAGGCAATTTATTCTCTTCTGTTCACATTTTATTTTTTTAGGACAACAAAAGAGTTTTGTAGAAAAGAATCTCAGGCAAGCAGCTATTATAGTCCTTTTTATTTATGCAATAAATTTATGCAGGACTAGATGCCTTTCATGTTACGAATATGACTTTTTTCTTCTGTCTTTTCCTCTTTCTTACAGACAGAACATTAAAATACTGAGCAGAGCAGACCGATGAAGAGCAGAACATACTACCAAATATTTTGTACGTACTTGTTTTCAAACAACCACCACTAAGCAAACAAGTCCACAGAGCACACACGCTTCTGTTACTGAACAACTGAGATGTTAATATATAGAATAATTTCTTATACGCATCCTCTCACCTTTTCGTAAAATAATCTTTAAAGGTACCTGTAGGGTACTTCAAGTATTTGATGAACTTCAAGTATATTCTACACTCCTACAACATATTGCACTTCCACTTGGAAGCAGATATGCTTTCCAATGCTTTTCATCAAAAAGGCATTCTGTTTGCTAACACTGGAACAACAGAATTTATACAAAAGCTCATTTTGGTTTCATGGGAAAACAATTGAACCAAAAGGCTAAAAACACTAACAGGTCAGTCTGGATAACATGGAGCATGCAGTGTTGAACAATATCTGCATCATTCAGCAACAGATCTTTAAGGAAACAGGGCTCGTGCTAGCTACTAGCTTATACTTGAATAGCAGGAAAGTTACTTGGCTATTCAACATGCCAAGTAGTTGATGGTCTTCCACTAGGTTCCTAAATGTGCATTTCCTTCTCAAAAAAAAAAATCAAACCCAAGACTATAATTCTACAGCATTAACAGTCCTACTTCACAAGAGAAAATTCATGAATGCAAGGAATTTAAGTAATGAAATGAAAAAAAGTGATACCATATATGCACAAAGACTACAAAACAAGAAAACGAAGCATACGCTTTAGATGGCAATGTGCAGGCGGTCAACATTTCAAAGAATTATCACCTGTACTTTTTCCCACACCTGATGACACCAGAGGTTCAAAACATTATTGCCGAATACTTAATTTACACTGTCTGTTCACAGTCTGACACGGCTCCTAATCCTTGGATAAATTTTCTCATTTTAAGCTCCTTACCTCTTTTTTAGGACGATCCGAAACAAGGCTTTCTTCACCAACTGGGTAAGTGTGGATTAAGACCAATTCACATTTCTGAATCTGCATTAGACTTAAAAATAAAAACACTCTATTTAGCCTGCAGTGTGGCACAGACTATCTCCCAGAAATTAGACCTATTCTCCATCTGATTTCCAGAACACAGAATCATAAAGATGTATTACAACATACTGTTTCTGAAAACATTCTGTAGGAACTAGGTTACATCAATGATTTTCAAAAGCACATACTTCAAAATAAGCTCTTATCAGAATGAAAAAAAAAAAAAGTATAACATTTCTAGCTCTTCACATGCTACAGCACTGCGTTGTTTCTTGGACACAACAATAGAATAGATCCTTAACTGGTGTAGTCTGTTCAGCTTCATTCAACTGAAAGTTGCCACTACAGAGGATTTGTGTCTCCAAGTGTGTGTATGGGTATTAATAAGGGGATTGCAATGAACATGAAAACAGCTACCCAAATAGCGTGCTTGTCTCCTGAGGCAGCTGGAAACTTGGAGAGATCAGGACACTGTTCCACATCTCTGCCTACAGGAATGAGACCGCACTTCTGTCTTTACAGTGGACTTGATTCCCTGGGGCAGTATCCTTTATGCATATACAAAACTGCAATTGCAGCAGGCAGATATAGGAGCCTCCTGCTTCTGCTGTTTAACAACCAACCATATATAGGATCTCAACCTACTATACATTTTACAAGGTAATACACAGTCCCTGGGCCAAACAGTTCACTGTTTCATTAGACAAAACATACAGTAGAAAAATGACTTCTCAGAGGAGATGCAACCTCTATTTCAAGAGATTCCTTTATCTCAAGGCAGTGTTAGGCAACACAATAATTTAGAAATTAAAAACTAGTTTCAAAGTTAGCTATTTCAGTTGAAGAAAGATGAATATAAAATTAACGCAGTGTTGTCACGAAAAAACGCATCATATGCATTACTGATTACAAATATGCAGTATACAACACAGCACAGTTACGTGTCTCATTTTGGAGCAAAATGTAGAATGTAACAACCTAAAGAAATACTGTCCTGTGAGGATAAAGGATGATACTGAAAAGCTCTAAGTCAACAATATCACAATTTAGCACCTTCTATTTCACAGAGGCATTCGTTCATTCGAGTGAGTTTCAAGTGACAAAAATACGTCCACACTTCAGAGGATACAACAGGCACGCGCAGAACAAGGGAAACTTTTTTGGAATGTTTGTAAAAAGAATACTCACTGATCTGAATTAGCCGCAAGCTTGTTATGCTCATGAATGGTTTCCTGAACACAATCCTCAAGCATCCGAACATGACTGTCACTAGAAAGAAATTTTGTAAATTTTTTTTTTTTTTAATGCAGGATAATCAATCCTCCTATTCAAAGCAACATGTCACTAAATGCTCTCTTATTTCAAGAGGGAAATTTTTTGGTTTGTTACTGTAACAGACCTCTATAAATGAAACCTTTAACAAGGCAAGAAATAATCTAACAAACAATGCAAAAAAGCTAGCTACTTAGGGCACTAATTCAAGACAATCAATGAAAGACTTCTAAAAATGTATGAAATAACATTTTTTTTAAATGGTAGGAGCCCACTACCATACATACCTTTTTGCATTAGTAATACAGATTATTCTTCCCCTATTTCCAACACGTTCTGCATTCTCCATGAGCATGGTTCGAGCCTCATGCTGGTATTCGGTTATTTTGCAGAGCGATTCAACCGCTGCAACCAGACCATGAAGTATGCTGCAGCACTCTGGATCTGCCCGAGGATTAGGTGGCCCAACAGCTGCTAATGCGGCCATCAACTAGTTAAAAAGACAGACATCATTGTTATTGCAAGTTCCTTTCCAGCCATTTGTTAAAATGATCAGTTAGGAGAAAAAAAAAAAAATCATCGTTATGACTGATTTTAAATGCAAATACCATTATGTGTTGCCAGCCTTCTGGAAAACATTTGGCCCTAAATTATCCTTTGCAATGCATTTATTAATTGCTACTAAACCTTGAGAATATAACATTCTCATTTATTACAGAAAAATACCTGGCTATAAGTAGTTATAACCAATACCTGAAAGAAATTCTAACATTATCAGTTGCCTTCCGCTTTTATTTTCTGAGAATTTTGAAATTCAGTTCCTCCCCAAAGCAAATTTTTCAGAGGACAAGTCCATTCAGTATGAAACAAAATAAGAGCAAAGAGAATATTTACAACATTTCTTTTCCAATGAAGTTCATTTGCCTATCATGTAAATGTTAAAAAAAAAAAAAAAACAAAACCCCAAATATAAAATTCAAGAAGTATCACCAAATACAAAAGAAATGCATAGGTAGTTTCTTCATAACACTTATTTTAATATACAATTCTATATGCAAAGTTTCTGGATTCTTTTTAAATTATGTAAAGCTGCGTATAGAATAGTCCAGCCTCACAGGCTACTTAAAATTCCGCTACACAATAATTTGAGACCAGATCTACCAACACTTTAATTAACCATACTTCATATTGAGCACAGTAAGAAGCCGCTATTTATTCTGCAATTAAACTAGACTTACAAAACAAAAGAACAGTTACAGAGCATACCTCCTGCAAGTTCTGATCTTCTTGAGTCCAAGAATTCAAGACATGAGCCCCAGAATCACTCACAATGAAATTCACCTAAAAGGATCAAAAAAGCACACATAAGATAACCGCCAATCATACAGATAATCTGAAAAACAAAATAATTACGGCTACTTCCCCAAACCCAAACCAACATGAATTACACCTCTTCTGATACTCTGGAGACACATGCAACAACAAACCAAACTAAAAATAAGACAGCAAAAAGCACAAAAAGGATCCACTCCTGCTATATTCAATTACACCTTTAGTAACATTATGATTAACTTCTTACTCTATATTTTTAAGCCACTAAATCTCTACACCAGATTAGCATTGCAGGACACTATGAAGTATTTTAGTAATTACGTAGTATTTTCAGTAGAACAGCTACAAAATAAAGTAAATTCTAAAACTGTAATATCGCAAATCATTCTGCAAGGACTGTCACAGTAGATCACAAGGGTAAATATCTAGCAAGATTTAATAAACACCACATAGCAAAATACATTCTAAAGATGACAAGAATGCTCTAGAGTTTAAATTAAACCTTTGCTGAGAACCAGGACACGCAATCAAGGCAGGGCGGCCAACACGCATCAAATCACTGACTGCCAGAGGCATTCGCTAGTGCCCAGCCTCTCTCTAACACAGCCAGTATTCCACCATCACTACTTTGTACCACTATCACTGTCACAAGGTTAACTTCTTTTTTCTTTGAAGGTAACTAACCTTTAGGACATTGCACAATGGTTTACTTAACAAGGAGAAAAAACAATCTAAAAAAGCCCAGGGATTAGTTACCTTAACTTACGACACAATGTTACAGAACCCACCAGGCATTTCTTTTTCTAAACAAGGAGCTGTGTGCCAGGAAGCTCTCCCACTTTTTCAAACTGGTAGCTTCAAGGCAATCCTACCTCTTCCTAAAATCCAGAATTTCTTCAAAGTTGACACCAAAAAAACCCTTATGAAGTGGTACCCAGTGCGCTTAGAAACAAAATTCAATTTGAAGCAATACCTCACGCAAGCTTTTCAAAACTTATAGCTCAGGAGAACACAATAATCTATCTATAAGTTACCTTACAGCACCTCTCCTCATGTTTTCCACTGAGTTACAAAGTGACAATATGACAACAAAAGGTCCTAAAAATAAATACATAATGGGATTCATATACTACTCAACCCAATTTAAATAGCTATAAAGGGTATCAGCAGCACAAAGAAATTTTTATATAACAAATTATATTTGATCTTTTAATCTACGCCACATCTAATGATATTAAAAGCCTTCATTAAAATGGAAAAATACGCTATCCAGTATCATATGCAGTATGACTAGAAGAACTTACCAGTTTCTTGAAAGGGAAAATATCATACATTATTCTACAGTACTCCATGGATGATTCCACTGAACAGGTCCACAGTGATTTTGATATGGGTGCTAGAGGTATAATTCCTTGGGTCCGATTCTTCACTAACATATCGAATTCAACATGTTGTCTGCAGGATTCTGCCATATATGGGCAGTGATCCACAACGAAAACAGTTTTATGAGACTCAGAAAAGATTTTCATTTTCTTCCTAAAAGAAACAGATATTAAAATCAGAAAAAAACTGTACAAGGCAAAAAAAATCACAACATTACTATGCAATTTATACAGTATATTATCTTAGTAGAACGTGCAAGTTTTAAACAGGTTATCTCTTACGGTATTTAGATTACACATTGCATACATTAGCTCCTACAAAACTGTTAATCTTTTGAAAAAATAGAAAAAATTTAAGAATCTGTTTACATGGAAATAAATATCCTCCAGAACTCCGACTAGTCTATATATTTAGTATACTAGATTTCTAATCAAAAGAAACTATTTTTTTCTCAGGAGGAAACAAATACAGGAGATGTGAAAGTACACTGTTGAAAAGGCAACAACAATGCACGGTATTACCCTCCCCACTTAACTTTTAAGAAAAAAGAAAGTACAGAAACAGCTTCCTATTTAAAGCTTATTTCCTAAAATAAGCAACAAAAATAATTTATTATTAGGCCATACAGACCCTGAAGTAACATAAACGTCACACTTTTAAGTAGATTTTCAGCCTTCACTTTGCTAGGTACACCTTTCTATTTTTGAATGAATATTTGCATCTGTACTTTGATCTCTTACTGCCAGACATACCAAGTCTGAAATTATAATGTGTTTCTTATCCAGCAAGGCTCATAGAAGCACCCTTTGTATTCTTCCCAACTAGGAAGCCTGAGAACTCTGCAATGAAGCGTGGTGCATTCTCCTGCCTCCCATTGATAGACTAGCTTTCCCTCTCCTATAGTATCACTGAAATACTTTTGAAGCAACTCTAACAGCAGATCCTTGTGTTAGGGTGGCCACCATAACTTAGAGACCCAAACTGCACAGAATTGCAGAATGTTAGGGGTTGGAAG